ATACACCTAAACAAGAAATACTTGCGGTGATATATTTTGTTTGACATATAAATGCATGCATTACAGACTAAAATTGGATGCTCTTAGAGCGTTTACTCGGGTTTCAACACAGAATATGATAAACAGATTCTTTGATTACAGCAAACGTTGCAATATCAACTATAGGCTCTCTAGACATAATGATATTATCTATTTTTGGCACTGAAACAAAACAAGAGAATTTGCATCCCATTTTTCCACAGTCACGTGATATGTCACATGCCCATGACTAGTCCAGAACTGGACCCTCTTTTATCCATGCGCGCGCGGAGTTGAAAACTATTATTTCGAATCAGCGTTCTCAACATAGGCCGCCCAACTAATGCATTAGAGATAGAATTGCACGCTTTAAAAATGTATTTATATATCGGCGCGTGCTCTTAGAAAAATTCGGGTTACCTGTGTTGTTACGTCACGATCCCGCGCCTCGCGAGTACATCTTTATCTGTGACAAGGTATGAAACACTGGTCACGTGATGGATCGATGTGTGCACCAGGTAGATGGGACAGTAATCGGGAAACGAAGATTCAACGAGTGAGCGAACTTTCACCGAAGATAGGGCGGAAAAATATGGCGTGTGAATATTTTGTCAGCACCTCCCGTACGTAAAAGCCTTGCGTTTTATTCAAAGCAGAAGTGTTTAATGTTCCTCCAAGACCTTTCAAAGCGAATAGTGAGCAAAATACTACAGCTTTGTCATTATTAACACAATGGAAAGCACGAATCCACTTCGAGGGATTGATTTTGAGGCACGGTAAGAATAACTTAAATTTAAGTTAAAAGCTTGTAAAAGTAGACCTTTGGCTTTCCGACCTTTCCCTCAGGCATTATTTTTAAGCTGAAGTAAGCTTTTGTTTGGAAAATGTATGAAAAAAGACGGGCAACTTCGTTTTGATWGATGAATTAGCAGTATCACTGAAAAGTGAAAATGGAGTCAAAAAGCTGATTGGACTTGTAGATTTGGGAAAAGAACATGACCTCATGAGATCTTTGACCACAGGTAAAGGTAGTTTTATATATTAAGCACATTTGTACAGCATTCAGCATTATGATGTTTGTATGACATACATTTTATTATGCTTGTCTACCAATCATGTGCTTATCCTATATTCAGAGTTCTTTGTTCAATGTAATATCTGAGCTATAACACACAATAAATACAAAACATTGAGTTTGACCATGGACAGTGTTATCATTAAATCTAATTCCTTTAATGGATACATATACATAAAAGTGTTGATAACTATGAACAGCCACCGAGTAATGTAATTCCTTTTGTAATCATGATATCATCACATTCTAAATGATCACCTTTTTTTAGGCGAAGAGAAGATGCATTTAAGAAATGTTCAGAAGAACTCCAACTATCATCATATGATGAAAATGTCTGCAACACTACCAATCAAGATTTGTGTCCAGTTGTGGGTTTGCTGTCTCAATGTGTGAATGAAAGGATCAAAAGAGGATGTCTGCTGATTACTCAAGAAATCACTATGGCTGTTCTTTGCTCTTCTGCAGGAGAATTGATTCTAGTTGATAGTCATTCACATGCTCCTTTTGGAGCTGCAATCTGTGGGCCAACACAAGATGCAAGTGCTTTAGTGCAGTGGTATCAAAACTCATTCCAAAAATATCATGGCAATCCAGTTGGAATTTCATGTAC